TCTATTCTATTCTATTCTATTCTATTCTATTCTATTCTATTCTATTCCAAATGCACTCTAGATTAATTAAGCAAGAGAGTCCTCTGTGATTAATGTAATTGTTGGGTTTGGGTCAGTGTTTCTCAATTTGGCCAACATTAAGGTGTATCGGCTACAACTTCCAGAATTCCCCAGCCAGCATGGCTAGCTAGAGAATTCTGGGACTTGATATCCATGCTATCTGAGCTTGGCTGTTTTCTTGCAGACCTTTCATTGCCGTACTAGATAACCCGATCAGTGCTAGTAGGGAATGAGGTTGGATCTTATTTTATATTCTTGCCCTGTCAGTGTCGGTGGGGATAGTTTTAGAGATTCTTCGGTTGGGCTGTTTACTGTTTAGCATGTTTGGCAGTTCCTTGATTGGGGCATTTTTACTTCTTGATTGTTGGGTAATGAAAGGTCTGCAAGAAACAACCAGGCTCAGAGAGTATCAAGGATCCTCCAATCCTTTATTTATTTATTTATTGGTTGATTTGATTTGATTTGATTTGTCAGTTGCTTACAAGATACAGGTATAAAAATAAACATAGTTTTGAATACATGAGATAGATACTTATAAGAAAAATAAAAACAATAGGACATGGACGGTAGGCACGATTGGTGCGTTTATGCATGCCCCCTACAGGCCTCTTAGGAAGGGGGTGAGGTCAATAGCAGACAGTCTAAGGTTAAAGTTTTTGGGGTTTGGGGAAGAAACCACAGAGTCAGGTAGAGTATTCCAGACATTGACTGCTCTGTTGCTGAAGTTGTATTTTCTGCAGTCAAGTTTGGTGCTGTTAACCTTGAGTTTGTATCTATTGTTTGCTCTTGTGTTGTTATGGTTGAAGCGGAAGTATTCATTGACAGGTAGGACATTGCAATGTATGATTTTATGTACTATACTTAGATCGGACCAGAGGCGGCGTAGTTCTAGGTTTTCTAGGTCTAGAGTTTCAAGTCTGGTGGCATAAGATATTCTGCAACGAGTAGAGGAGCGGAGAACTCTTCTTGTGAAATATTTCTGGACTTTCTCAATTGTATTAATATCAGATACATGATATGGGTTCCAGACTGATGAGCTATATTCAAGTATAGGTCTAGCAAATGTTTTGTATGCTCTAGTTAGTAGTGTGATATTGCCAGAGAAGAAGCTACGTAGGATTAGATTGACAACTCTTAATGCCTTTTTGGCTATGTAGTTACAGTGGGCTCTAGCACTTAGTTCATTAGCGATGAGTATTCCAAGGTCCTTGACAGAGTTTGGATACTCAACAAGGTCTTGACTATTCAGCTTGTATTTTATTTTCTGATTTTTTTTTGCCAATAAGTAAGACAGAGCATTTATGTGTTGAGATTTGAAGTTGCCATTTGTTTGACCATTCTGATACATAGTCAAGGACTTTTTGGAGGGTAGTAGTATTGTCTGTGGTGTTGAATAGCTTGAATGTTGAATGTTGAATAATCCTCCTCCTCCTCCTCCTCCTCCTCCTCCTCCTCCTCCTGTTTCGACATCCTGAACTTTCAGTTGTAAGC